ATCCGACTGGTATGTTATTTTGTTTATATTACTGCACTTTTTTGCGTACAACTATTTTTATACAATTTATGGGAGATTAATGTAGGGTTTGACCGAACCCTACACAAAGAAGTTGGCTAAATCTGTTCTAAACGTTTTGGATTTCGGCATTTCCATGATGTATTCTTTGGGGGGAAAAGATGTATAATATTAATGTTATTACGAGGCTACTGCGCGTCTTGCATACGTAATAACCTCATATTAAGTGTTTTCTTCAGAGTTTATTTATTCTGTAAGGTAAGGTAAAACTAGATAAGCAAACTGTGCCGTCTTTCATATGATATGTAGTGCGTGCAATGTATTCTGTCTACTTTCTATTCTTTCATGTACTGTAAATGGAGTTGATACTGAGCTGATAATTCGTTATTTTCGATTGCTCTTGTACTTCTGTAAAAAAAATCCATGAATGTTGTAAATGCATAACGATCGTAATGCTGTTCTGTGATACGTGCGTCTCTTGAATTGTGACATTGACAGGTGTTGTGTGGTGACAATTGTAATACAAATACAGTAGTATATGGTATATTATCTGTACATACTAAAATGAAACGATGATATCACATTGGTCACTCGTGTACATGATTAGGGAATATGTATGTGCCTCTTTCTACTCATTGTATACAGATCCGTATCTTACAATCAGTTCGTACGCATGCGTGTTTTATATTGATCTCATCTGAAGAAGATATGAACAGAGTCCTGATTAATGCAGACTAATGCCGTATTTTTCATGGACAACATTGTAGTGTGAAGCAGCCACTCCAGGTACAGCTCAAATATGTGGCAGTGTAGGTTCAGTGGCAGAACTGTGCTATAAGTGTACACGAGTACAATTATCTTTCTTTGAAAACAGGTATAGATCTGGATTTCCTGCTTCAAGTACATGTAGTTGGGATATAAGCAACAATACGTTTTATATCAGTTTGTTTTAACATAAAATGTTGAGTCATAAGTAAATCGCAAACACTGGAAATATCAATGTGCATATCGTCTATCTGCTGTCTGTTTTGAACAATGCAATAATACTGTGTACTATAAATACATAGACATTGTGGTACAAAGTACAATGCACATGCAATTGTTTCATGCCTGTTTATGTTGATAACGTTCGATAACATCTAATGGGGGGTCCAGTTAATACCTGCATTATATATGGTGTACTCCTTTATGTGGCAAGTGAGCTTTTATACACAGTTATTTTATTATTCCGTGGGAAACCGAACCCGTTGCTAATAACTGTATTTCTATATAGCGCTAAACTCTAATTTCGCTGATGAGAAAAATGCATATAATTTTGTAATTAAAACTTCAGTTCGAGTACCCCATATACGTTTTAAAACAGTCAATAACAAATGATTCAGATCTGAGCATAATGATTTTTTTCTAAAACGTTTTTAAATCTGTGATTGCTCTTTATATTCTATTGAATTCTATTGTCCAATTTACTATGTATACAGGCAGATCAAAATGAATCACCAAAATGTCTAAGTAATGAATTAGATTTATATTTCATCAACATTTCTAAGTCATGTCAAAACTTAAACTAAATAACTTAAAATAATTCAATTTAACTCGTCGCTTCAGCCAGGTAATATGCCCAAACATAATTGTGACACTTGAAGGGTGCATTGTACAGGGTCAATACTTGTATATTCATCAGCATTTGTATAAACAGTAGTACTACTATTATCTTTTAGATTGATCTGTTGAACTATTTCACTGCCATATTGGCATTATGGATCCAAAGCATCAGCAAAATCACAACCGAGTTAGCAATGCGACGTCAGTACAGCCACTGGATGTCTCAGAAGCTGCGAACAAAAAGGCAATTAATGAATCTGATCATGTAAGATATTTTCTATGATTGGAAATATTCTTCCCTAAATGAGACAGCTCATATTCATATTACATAGGCTATTGCAATTTAACAATATAACTTCTTCCAGTACACTTTTATTACAGGCATCTCTGTTTTATGAAGTGATAGCCAAAGCCCATGTATCAGACTTACCAGTTCAAATGAATGACATTATTAGAGAATCTTCTGTAACTAAAACCATCATCGGGACGGATGTTATCTTCAAAGGCAGTATAAGTGAAATTGTTCATATTCATGACAGACTCCTTCATTATAAAATAGGGGAATTAACTGAGACTGATGTTAGGAATCAAGGATTGAACAATGTTCATACCTGTGATGATGATGATGGCAAACTAGATAACCATGAAACTAAATACATGGCACAAAGTGGCCCGAATACACTAGAATCAGACAACACGAATGAAGATGTAGAGAAAAGCAGCTCTAATCAAACTAAACAATCTACTGATCATTCCGTTAAAAATTCACACATTAAAGGGGACGATGGAAATGCACCTGAAATTCCGTCAGAAATGCGATATAAGCCACTTGTGATGAGCGATGTGCAAGATCTAAGCACATTATTTAGTTACTTAGACAAAATGCACTCTAAGACAATCGCCAATATCTCTGAAACTTATAAAGTTAGCATTTTATGGCAGCGACGGGAGAAACGATTCAAATTAAAACGGTTAAAAGGCACACCACAATCCTCACGAGATGGTGCGCGTCGTGCACTGGAACAGCTAGTTCAAAATAGCGAGATGAGCCTTAAACAAATTACATACACGATTCAATTTATGGAAGGAGATATGTCACTTGTTGACAGGATAAAGACAGCAAAGATGTTAATTAATAAGTTCACATCGGTGATGCATATAGAAGAATCTGTTGATGTGCACATCTTTTTAGGTGAAGACGAGAAGAAGCTGAGACAGGCTGTAAAGATATTTTATGAAACAGTTTCAGCCACTCGTGTGACTGCAGATAGCATCGAAACAGTGACCCGACAGATAAAAAGAATCAAAGAAAATGTTACAACGGAACCAACAGTTGATGGGATAAATAGCGTAACTGGTTACAAGAAAGAAGCAACAGTAGGAGAGGATATTCTTAAATTCATCCATCATGCCCACCAGTCTGTTCTCAGTCAAATTGAGAACACTTTTGGTGCCGAGTTTAGATGGTTTGGGGGACCTGTAATAGAGATTGTAGCTGGTAACATAGGCACTGAAAGAACAATAGATACAGCCTATGATCGTTTCACAAACTTTGTACAAACACTTCATTCAAACTTAGTGGCGAAACAAATTAATTTAAAAAGTGAAAACTGTTCAGCACAAAACACAATGCAAGCAAGGAAGCACACACAGAAGATGCATCCAAAAGTGCTAATCAGTGAAACAGACGACATCCTTATCTATCGAGTATATGGAGAAGCAGAACATGTATCTATGGCAATGGATTCATTCTATAAATATTTACAGTTACCCCACTCGTTAGGTCGCCATGGAAAATCTCGAAAACTTTAAAGAGCACAATCAACGGAAAGTTCAACTCCCTCCGGGAGGTTAACGTTCCTAGTGTGTCCGCGAATTAAAAAAAAGATGCAATAACTGATAATGGACCATACAGTTGTGTTGTTTTAAAAACAATCACAATTTAAGTAGCGTGTGTGGATTACACCGAATTGAGAAAAACAACAAGATCAATTTTACCTTCATTTATTTTCCCTCTACTGGCTATACCACAGCGTATAGTACATATGGCAATGCGAAACTTTGCAAATTATGACTGATAACACAATATCTATACATTTTCTGTGGTGTCCATCATGCATGATGGGTTTGAAAATACCAAAGCAAATATTCTGTTCTGTACCCGTGATAATCTTATTGTAGACGAATTGTAGACCTTGGAAAACAAAAATGTTACTATTACATTGATATATGGAGTGTTCTACAGATTGAGCAAGACGTGTTTCCACCTTTACTGTTACACGTATGGTGAGTGGAGACTTCCACATTTCCAGCTTTAGTGAAAGTTATGAAACGTTAGGAGAGCTGAGCAATTGTGGCGAGCGCGACAAGCTAGGCTCCAGCAGAATTATGTTTGCCGTTTGAAGCGGAGAAAGAAGCGATATTCCACTTAACTAAACTATGACAATGTTTATCCTATGTTATTAACCGACAAGATAACAGTCCGTGAACTACATTATACTGTTTCCACAAACTGCCAGGGTAATTAAAAATTAAGACCAAGTCGAAGTGTAGGGGCAACATCGTTATGGAAAAATAATCGTTACTGTTTACCGCGTCAGTGCATGTATGGTATATTACAACCATGCCATATTGTATAATCCAAATTGTCTGTTCGATTGATGTTTTGCCACTGTGCTGAGACTTTTTTTCTAAGCTTCCGGATATTCATGTACGTAATGTACTATAATTTATTTGACAGTTCTGTGAAATCGAGGCCATGTGGCGTTCACTGAACAGAACTTATTTGACATTTGTTGGTGTATGTAATTTAAATACTTATTAGTTGTTTTAGGACTAAATTAATTATTAAAGCACAAGAATTTGACCTATGGTAATGTTAAAGGGCGGTGGTCGTCGCGTTCTATTCGATAAGGGAATCATAGCGACGTACACAACGCGTGCAAAATAAATAAAAAATTGTTTACAAAAATTCGAACACTCGCAGCGCTTTTTAAATATGCTTCCACGGAAACACTGGACTCACAACAATTTGCAGCTTGTAAGGTATATTCAACACGCTTTAATGTATATAAAATATGTATTCACTAATTACAGGGTAGACGAGTTGTATGTGTATATTTATTTATTCATATATAAAAATCCTACAAAAGAAAACAAGTTAAAATATAGTGTAAAGTCTATGCAATACAGTCTGACTGCGTAAAACTACACGTAAAAGTAATGGATTTTATAAAAACATCTAAAATAAAGATGCAAGATAAGTAACTTCAGTCACATTTGTAATTGAGAAATATCGTACAGTTTATAATCTGTTGGTTGGGGCATTTCCCTTTCTATATTAAGTTTGCTATTATATATTCAATCCCGGCAAACAAATTCAACACATGTAATAATTTGTTTTTCTAATAAACACGTCAATTTCCATTGTACATAAACTACTGCGCAATGCAATCCAAAATATAAACTACGTACGAGAATTTACTTTAGTCTTGATATAAAATGTTCTTAATGAATGTGTCAACTTTAACAGTTCTCCAAAACCATCCATACTTTCCACGTCTTGGACATCCCTCGTTGTGCCAAGCTGAATGTGGAGGACCATTCGCCACTATACCTATCATAAACCACTTGCCGTTATGGTATTTTGCTAACGGGCCACCTGAATGGCCATAACAGCGTTTTCCACCGTTGTTACCATCCATATATTCCGCGCACAAAAAAGTCCTGTCTGCAGCCCACAAATCCTGTTTGTTTTCCACGCAAGTTTTCCAGTCAATGCTCCTCAATGGAATTCTCTGTAAAACGTAGTTACTGGAGAAGTTGTCAAAATCTCGGCCCCATCCAAATGTGAAGGCAATGCTTCCAGCCCTGGCCCGTATGCTGTTTTTGCTTTTTAAAGTTGGTAAACAAATTGGTCTAATGTAAGATGTAAATGTTACCTCTCTGTCTAATTTAAATAGGCACATTAAATAGTCAGTACGATACATATCACAATTCTGAACTACTATGTCAAACGACACTTCATCAGGTTCAGTGACATTTGAATAGGTTTTTCCTAGTTTGATCTGCAGTTTATGTCCATATCGTGCAGATATACAATGTGCAGTGCTGATAGCCCAGACATCATTAAGTAGTACGACGCTACAAATGTATTGTGCCTCGTCTACGTCATACAACAGACCCATCCATGGTGCGGCGCGTGGAACAGAATTAAAGTTTGTGTCATTTGTATGTTCATATATATTTGGTATGCCTTCTGGTACATCTGAAATGCCGCATGCTATATGAGAAAATAATAGAAGATGTGTTAAAATATGCAGATAATTAACTCCTTTGCATTACCATAATAGTGATGAAAACACGTACACATTTCAACTAATACACGATATTAACATTATAACTCATTCAGCGATATACTAAATGATTATCACGAGTGACAAAACATAGTAGATATAATTAGGTCATGGAAGAGAGAATATTATAGTTTGAATACGAACCTGAATCATACTCTAAATTAAAACTACCAATCCCTTGATTGATTCCAGAGTTGAATTTCACACTTGCTGATGTTCCACTGGTTATATACTGAGTTTGTTGTTTGAGATGACACAATCGGTCTCCTCTATTGTCCACTTCTATATAATTGCTATGACACAAAATAAATACATTTATGTGACAATTTTAATCAATTAGTCATGAGGTTATCTTGGTGCAATAGGGGGTCATAAGAAATTTAAATATGGAGTTCTTAACTTACACACAGTCTAACCAGTTATCTGTGGTATTACTTTGTGCATCCAAATCAACTGAATTCATACGCAGGCGTACTGGCCCCCCGTATTGGCTGGCTATAGCAAATTCACAAGATTGATTAGAAGGGTATGTATTTTTTCGCCAAGGATTCTTTATCTTTCCATATTCATCTACATACAACATCCCTGATGGCCACTCACAGCGAATCTCTGAAAGAACCAAAAACAAAAAGCTTATTGAGACAATCATTGTCTACTTGTTAAATCATTCATCACTGCAGTGCATTGTAGTGCAGTGTAGTGTAGTGCAGTGCGGTGCGGTGCAGTGCAGTGCAGTGTAGTGCGGTGCGGTGCGGTGCGGTGCAGTGCAATGTTATTGCCAAACACATCTACATTTTTAGTAAATCGAAGAATTCCAAAATAAACGGCTTGATGCATATACCCACTAGTACAAAAGAAAATCGTTAACACGTAATACACTGTCAAATCAGTGAAAGGATATACCAGCATCAAACATATTATAGTATTACACAAATGTCACAGATTTACGTTCCACTTGTCAATTGAATGAGTCACAGGCAAGTTTCTTACCATTTTTGACTTTTAAAAAATACATTTTGTATACTTATCTGACAATCTATGTTCGAAATATCTAATGTTTTTCATTTTTATTATCTCTGTTGTCATCGAAGATGGGCAAAGCTGTTCATATAGGTGATTGTCCGTCATCAATTGCATTTTTTTTACTTTTTCTTGAAAATCACTAGCTCAATTACTTGGCATTTACATACCTCAGTTTTTGATACTTGTATACTTGGTATTTAGATACATGTACCTCAATTTTTAGCAAATATTTTTCCATTTTTAGTAAAAGTAACTACTTTTCAACTTCTTGAAAAATGCCAGCTCAAATACTTTGATATTTGGTATGTAGATACCTTGACCTGACCTCTGTCATATTTGTTAATTCCAGGAAGATATCTTAAATTCATCATTTTAGTGAATAAAATATTTGGCGGACCTTTCTTTGATTTGTTCATTTCGTGACGGTATCATTCATTCTCTATTTTTAGTAAATATCTTAGCCATTTTTGATTTAAAAAATCATATCTTCGACTCATTCTTGAAAACTACAATTCCTATTGTTTGATATAATATATGAATTAATATATGAATAAACTTGAATTAAATTCTATCAGATGTATTATGACGATATCATTGATTCTGTATTTTTCACGAATATTTTTGGTTCAAAATGATATTTTCATCTTATTTTTGAAAACTATCAACAACAAAACAATGTGATCCCTTTTATTGAAGTTTATAGTAATTTATTCCAGTGCATCTCTACCACAAGCTCAAATTGGCTAATAATTAGTTAATCAATATGCATGTTTTTCATTAATAAACAGCAATTATTAAATTATTAATCATGTCTGGGGATTACCCCAGGGCATCTTTGAACCAAATTTCAACAAAATGTGAAGATTATGCACATTATGCAAATTAGGCAATTAGTATGCTCGATTTTTCAATCCAAAACTAACGATTATTTCTAGGCACTTACGTACCAAATCTCATTGAAATGCAATAATTGAATTAAAAAAAATGGGTAATAATTATGCAAGTTAAGCAATTATTATGCATAGATTTCGACACCAAACTAATTACATCCGTGAATTGTTCCAGGGCACATATGTACCAAGTGTGTATACTGTAATAATTAATTCTTAAAAAATCATTATTATGCAAATTAGGTAATTGTTGTCAGTGTATATAAACCGAAAACCAGTTAGTTTCATTGTTTTAGTGTATTTATGTATCAAGATTCAATGAAAAATGATAAGCACTTGAGATATTGATGGAAAAGCTGAAAACTAATTATTATGTAAATCAGGAATCTAATATGCATATATTTTATTGTAAAACTAATAAGGTCTACACAATGTCACTAACCATCAGTGTATCAAGTTTCAAGTGCAAATTAGGTGATTAATATGCACGAATATTAACCAAACACTTACCAATGCATTGTTCTAGAGCATCGGTGTACGAAGTTTCATTGTAATGTGATTAGTACTTGCGATATCAGTGGAAAAACAGAAAATTGACTAATCATTATGCAAATTAGAATATTAATATGCATCGATTTTACCCTTGCATTGTCCCAGAGCATCTATGTACCAAGTTTCATCAAAATCAAATGAGTAGTTCTTTAGATATCAATGTAACATATAGCTAATTATCATGCAAACTAGGTAATTAATGTGCATGGATTTAACCCAAAACACGGGAGTCAAAAATAGACTGTTACACAACTAACGAATATAAATCCATTAAATAATTAATATTATTTGTTACCTTCTCGTTGATACGTAATATTGAATCTTGCAGACGGTTCATAGTACCGATTGGGCAAATGGTAGACAATGTATACGGGACTAGTAGGTAGTGTAATCCAAGGTGCCAGCATGTTACCGTAATATCTGACTGCAAGTTCTGTTAAAATAATGGTAAATTAGGAAGTCAAAATGTGTTATTTTACGTCCTACATTAACGTATTGATTATTAAATATTATTTTTATTAACTCATTTGAATATAATAACCGTATACAATCTAAGAATTTAGCAGCTCTTTTATCAGTGCTTGCAATCTGAATACAGTATGTGTTGTTGTTTGTAAATTCATATATTCTAATTATATTTTTAATATATTTTTAAAATTGTATTTTTTTTAGTACATACATCTATTTTTGTCATAGTTTAAATATCGACATTCGTGGTTACCGACAGAAATATCAAATAATAACAAAATACACATTTCCAAAGAAATTTAACACAAATAATTCGATATTTTTAAGCAGATTGACATATTGTTAGGGAATACCTACATTGAAATTATCAAAAGCTACTACACATGTCCTAGAGTTCAAGGTACGAATGTCGAACGTTTACTCAAATACTAAGTGTTGTAGCAAATAAATACTCTGAGGATTGTTTTATTTTACAACACACCAACAACGAACATGGACGACAACACGGCGGGGAAAATATCACGTTACCCACAATTACCTTTGTTTTTCCCCATTAACACATCCACGTAATGAGATGCTTGAGATGGAGGGTAATAACCACTTATGTACTTGTCGAATTCAATTCCAAGTGCTGTGAATTCTAATGATATAGCATGATCCTTGGATCCTTGAATCTCAAATGTACATTCATTATCAAAAAACACAGATTGGGATAAACGCTGACTGACTTCAATTGTGCCACTTGGATTTGTATATACCTTATAACATTCTGTTGATAGAACAGACAGAAGTGTGGAGAAGGTTAGTTGTGATGTTGATGTTGATGTTTTAGATATTCATGAAATATGGATTTCCCATATTAAATTATGGCATTCCTATAGAGGATATGCAGCTACATTTACAATGTGTAAAAGGCAGTCTGATCTATTCACAGTTGCCACAACATACTTGCTTGGTAATGCAGTTGGAATCCCCTCTTCTGCTTGTTTTTATTTGACCTGAAAAGTAAAGTCATCCCAGGTCCAGTAGATACAAATCTGTGTGGTATTTCATTTCCGCAATATGTGCCAATCAGTGGAGAATCTAATACAGGACCATCATATACTGAGAGATAATCGTAGCTGTAATCAAAATGACATCGATATATTTGATTGAAATGTAATAACATTAACTGTTAGATTACTTTGATATTTGAGTAAGTTGCTGTCAAATTTGTTCATTTCGTGAAGATTTCTTTAATTCTCTATTTTAGTGAATATTTTTAGTAAAAAGAAAACACATTTTCGACGTCTTCTTGAAAACTTCAATCACCATAATTTTAGTATGTTTTATGTAGGTATCTCTATCAGATATCGATTCTATTTTTTCACAATTATTTATAGTACAAAATGATTATCTCAATGAGGTCCATCCAAGATTTCTAAATATGAATTATCGAAGCAATTGGGCAGCCATTTTCAAGAAGAATTCGAAAATAGCTATTTTCACCAAAAATATTCCTACAATTAGAGATTTGAAAACATCATCGCGAGATGAACAAGTCCAAAAGACGTCTACCCAATGTACATAATATACCAACCGAGTATCAAAACAAGCGGACTTGCCGTTTTCAAGAAGTAGTCGAAAGTTGACTCCGACGGAATACATTGAGTGTACGAGAGGACTTCCTTATACAACTGTATTGGGTATAATAATACATTTGAGGAAATTGTATTGGTTAGTAAGAAATTGATGTGTTTATTAAAGCCGTCCGACTATATATCAAATCATTTAATCTATATGCATATATTTGGAATTACAGTCTGGTCGGTTACTTCTGTAATTACACAATATATACATAATTATCATTGTAACAATACCATGTAAAACATTACCTGCAAGTTGCAGGACCAGACGCATCCTCCAGAACGAAATCTTCAATGCTTAAGTAAATGATAGAAGCTGGTTTTTCAGTTACAATGTGCCACACACATTCCTGATGAACTGGATATGGGGCTGGGTAATTTGAAGATGAGATATTACCTTCATGCTCACCATAAACCACATTACTGGCAACAGCACAAGCAAATCTTTCATCCAATGGTTCTGAGGAAAAGATAGTAAAGCAAGCAGAGTATAAATTATACAGCAGTGTTATAGAACACTATATACTTTTTACTTGCTTTTTGTGATTCAAGGTCGTTCTGATACGATAATATCTGCCGATACGATAATAGAAATGTCTAAAATGGTGGACAAACTAGATAATTATAATAATATTGTGTTTAAACTAATTATCCATATAACAAGTCAGCCTTTCTCAGTATTTACTAACTTTTTGTGCATCCATGTCCGTTTATTCAGGTACACACCCTTCCCGGAGGACACTAAAATACTAATGATGTTAATTAAACTGTACGAGGGCAATGACATGATTTATTGGTATATACATACCTGTTACATACTCCGCAATAAAGTTGAAGTCAATAGAATAAATGTTGAACCGTACTTGTATTTTATGGCCAGATGATTTAATAACGTCTGGGCGATTCCTCCCAAAATGACCAAGTTCAACTGAAATAAGTATCATTGGAACCAGTCAACGTTTGCATATACTTCACACAATGTTTTAAGTTTATGAGTTACGAAAAAAAATCATAAAAGTCGCTGAATAAATGTGTAAACTGTTACCATTGGTTAAAAGATCTATAACTTCAAGGTATGCGTTTTCGTTTTGCCAAATTTCCAACTGTGTGAAATTGGTGAATGTCAGGGATAGTCTGTTTCCATCTGGAACACTGATATTATACACGCACATACGTGTATCGTAGCGATACGACACGTGTCGATATAAATTCGCAGCAGGTGACTGAATCTGTCCCATGTTCGAGTCGAATATATTGTATTCACATGCTAAAAAAATAAAACAGAAGATTTGTACAACATCAAAATGAAAGTTGAAATTAAGTCCACAATTTCTTGCAAATTTTAATTGACATCAGATATATCAATACATTACCTGAACGATAGGACATACGAACTTGTGCTGTTAGATTTAATAGATTCCGTTGTAAACATCACATGTATCACATCAGCTGTAAAGATCCTTGATATAGTATCACCACATAGTCGAGCCATTAACGCCGATGTTTTACTAGGACCACGTCTCAATTCAACAGATTCTTTGCTGAATGGTCATCAAGCATAGAAAATGTATGAATACGTGTGGTTATTTCATTGAGAAGCTGAGTACTCAATGTGAAAATGTTTTTTAGTTTTAAAACGTTGGTAGTCTAATACTATCTCTTCTAATGATGGAAGAGAGTAATTTGGGTGAGCACCATTTTTAATTGCTTGGCAATGATTAGTCGTGAAATAACTGGGAAATAACATGAAGGGCTTTATTCACATACTTGCAGTCATTACTGGACATTAGCATAAATTCTTGAAATTCCAATACTACATTTACGTCATCATATGCATAAATTATCCATTCGTAATCCTTATAAACTTTGTCCATTGGCACACTGATATTTCCTTCTCCTGCTCCAAAAATTTCTTTGAAATCAGTTTCTATGAACAGAAAATATAACTACATGTGAATACCAACGGTACCCTAATAACGCGTTATCCAAACAACTTGCCGTAAGTATTGTTACAATGCAACAATAAGAACGAGACTACTAATCAACTTTCCATTTAATTACAGGTAATTCCCGTAAGTTTATTTTGCTTATCATATTTTTGGAATGAGTGGAATTCAGATCAGTTTACATTGTTTTAATTTTTGATGATAACTTGAAATTTGGCCCAAAACGTTTGAACTTGCCTGGTGTATAACGCACATGTAATCTGCTTTTGTCATTTGATGGCTGCAACATGTGGTCTATTCGTTGAGTTATGGTGCGAACCTTCGCTGTTGATAACCACACAGTGGGATGGATTATTGGTGGGCAAGTTGGCTACAGAAAACCGACAGCCATTCGACCACACAAATACTTGAAAGCAAACGACATTATTGTCGTCTAACCTATATTGGTTTTACGCCTGGAGGTGACACAAATATAATCATGTGACTGACAAACCACATCTACTCACATTTAGGACGATTTTACATATTTGACGTTTTTTTGTAGTATTAACACGTACCTATCATTTTATATGTAGCAATAATTCCATCTGTGTACCATCCAGAATCCATTTTGTAATCAAGTTTAACAGTGTTGGTATGGGACAGAACAGGGTGTGCGTTTGTATGGAAGAACATGGCTATTTGATTGTTCATACTCTCTGGAAAGTGATAAAAACAGTCACTTATATAATTTTGATGTATGTTACACACTCATGAACATGAGCCTGTACCCATCATATATCATTCAGAGTCATAATCGAGGTTTCTGTAAGATCATTGTATTTACCTACAAGCTCATTGTATCTGCCAAAAAACAATTTGAATGTTAAGGTCAGTCGTTCTCTACGAAATCTTTGGTTTAATAGTTTTGACGAAAGAAGACAAGACTGCATAAACTACAGTTCTTGCCATACCGAAGGAGCTAGGAAATATGAGAGAATGAGTTATTGCTGCAAAATGTGGAAAATTTAAAATAGTGAATTCTTGTAGTTCAAATACATCATCAATATATTGGAATATGAACTTAAAAGACTTGGCTCCATTGTTTTCTTTCTATGTTCTTACCAAATTAGATTCTTTAGAATAAAGAAGTAAGTCAGCCACATCGGAGTACAATTTAACAATCAACTTGTAAATCCATAGATTCCTCTGACTCGTCAAAAATATCATTCTAAGCAACTAAGATTCAGTTTGAAATACCTGCAGCCACAAATGACAGCATAAAAGACTGTGCAAACATGACCGATAATTTGGACGCAAAATTCCCTTACACTGATACCAGTTTCACTGACTTGACATTTTTGTCAATTACGTTTACCATTGGGAAATTAAATCCTCGCCTCAGAAAATCTAGAGGGAGCCAGTTTTTGCAAATATGACACGACTGACTGAATTGCCAAGACATGAAAGCCTCGAAGTCATTTTATACAAGTGTGAACTTAGCAGTAAAACAAATAATGCCTACTCGGCAATCAAAAAGCCGACAATGCAGTTTCATCCCAACGTATATTGTCATACAACACAATCTCGTATTAGATAGTACTCACCTGGTCCAAATCCTTCATATATACTGACCCTACCACTTGTGTCTGTATGCGGGAGGTTGAAATGTGGAAATTCGATGTAAATTCTGTGATTTTCGGCGGCTTCTAAGAAGTATATTGCGTGTCCTACATCACGCTCTACAATTTCACCATGTGACTGGTTGAGATATGTGAATGGTCCTACAATAAATTGAAATATACATCTCACTATGTCTATGTGACACGTATAGTATGTGACACTTCTTGGCAGTATGACAAATGATTGATTGAAATTATTGCTGGTAAACTAATTGCACAAGTTAGGATCCCAAAATACATTACATCAAACGTTCTGATAACGTTCAAACGATTCAAAAAAGCGTTTTATTTTAGTTGTCATGACAATTAAAACTTTTATGCAGTTGTTCACAAAATAAAAAAAAAAAAAAAAACTTTTATTCGCACATGTATTGACCGAATAAGATGAACATTTTATTCCCACATTCATAATTTTTTTAGTGTATCTTATTTTAACATAACTTTATAGAATTGATGAATGAAGTAAAATTGACTACCTACCCTCACAGTATTCAGCGGTAAATCCAGTATGTCCGGTTCCAGTCACATGACCACTCACAAACCTAATATATAACTGTTTTGCGGTAGAGACAACCACTCGTGGTGCAGTACTGCCACAAAATCTACCAAAACTCTGTGATTCGTCGGTGTTACCATAAAAGATTTCCACGTAGTCTACACTATAAAACGAAATGAATATATTAGTGTGTCCTTGAAACCAATATACATACTGAATAAAGGTGATTTATTGCGTGTATTGATTTGAATCGTATAATGTATCTTGTACATATTAACTAGACGATCATTAATATTCATATGTAGTTGTGGATGATTATTCATTAAATCTTTGCAAAGACAAAGACATTTGTGGCGTTTCGTTTTATAACCATTCTTGAACATTCGATGACAACTTAATTACGCTGATCAATTCAAAATCAGAGTAAGGACACCCCTAACGGACGTTTTTTCTAGTCCAATGGTGTTCATTGATATTGGTCAATACAGAAAAGACAATAACAGTTGCATATAATTTGTAAGCAAATTAAACTGTAGGCTATTATAAACTATATTATAAGTTATGTATTTACACAGATAGTATGCATGTACCTAGTTTTAATTTTCAGTTCAATTTTAATTTGGTGAGGAGTTATTGTGTATGCATTTCCTAAGATAAGTTTACCTTCAAATAATGTTATCCACATTTAAAATATTATTACATCATAACAATCTTATGGGTTAGATAATAGAAAACATGAAATACTCACTGACAATTTTCTGAATCCAGTAAATCAAATTCCGGGAATGTTAAAAGAACATGTGATATCGGAGAGCTGACGATCCATGAACACATTTGATCAGCTGCATAAGGGACTGGATAACCGGGATTTGAAAAATGTCCAATTACTCCTTCCCACCATTCCTGTTGGTCGGACAGCCTGGCTATGTTGATAGTGTACTCGCAGCTAATTGCTATACCAATATAAAGTAAATGTTTTAGTGTCAGGAACAATGTATTTTTTATGTAAGGCAATTCTTCACATTAACATGGATATATACATAGCATTGTTTTCCCAATTTGTCATATTTGTTAATCCACACACTAATCAGCTACAATATCATTCGACATACACAAGCAACGCCTAGACAGCTGACTATACATATAGAAACGACACAAAGACATCTGGCCTTGCACACAAAAGCAGCACCTAGACAGCTGACTTAGCATATCCAAACAGCACCTAGACAGTTGGCCTTGCATATCCAAACAGCACCTAGACAGTTGGCCTTGCATATCCAAACAGCGCCTAGACAGTTGGCCTTGCATATCCAAACAGCACCTAGACAGTTGGCCTTGCATATCCAAACAGCGCCTAGACAACTGACTTTGCATATCCAAACAGCACCTAGACAGTTGGCATTACACATCCAAACCATGCCTAGACAGCTGACTTTGCATATCTAAACAGCGCCTAGACAGTTGGCCTTGCATATCCAAACAGCGCCTAGACAACTGACCTTGCATATCCAAACATAATTTAGACAGTTGGCCTTGCACATCCAAACAGCACCTAGACAACTGACCTTGCATATCCAAACTGCGCCTAGACTGTCGGCCTTGCATATCTAAATGTAAGCTACACACACAGTAACGGTAGGATACAAGTAATATTTCGGGGCAGTGGGCTAAATGCGGTCGTGGGGACTCGGGTTCGATAACAAAATACCCAGCTCAGTGTTGCATGTAAAGTTAGAATGTTGTATTAACGCTGAACAAGCAAAAACACAATCGTAATTATCGCTACTTGGATACAGTAATACACAGTAATGTGTCACGTAAAGCAGTTATTTCTCAATAAAAGTCTCAATAAAAAGTAGAAAATACAATTACCAGTATTCTGTAATGTGCTATGAAAATGTATTACAATATACTACTCATTACGTTGTTACTATAATGACTAACAGGAATATCTATGCACAGTAATGTATAGTGCCACTAACTGCTACAACCATATAGGCCAACACATCAGTACAGAGTACTGAAGAGAATGTATGGC